TCGTACCGATCTTGGGTTTGCGCCAGGACAATAATCTTATAGGGAGAAATATTTCAGATCCTTGTAAATTCATTTTTGCCCGAAGCACGAGCCTCGGCAACCTAAAGTGGTGGGGATAACGCTTGGACAATAATCGTGTAGAACGAGCTAGACGATAATCGACAGGAGTCTGCACAGGGTGGACCACGGAATACGAGCACCTTTGATTATTCTACTATTTCTATGTATCAACTGGAAATTGATTGTTACAAGTAGTACAATCCATCTGAGCTAGACACGTATTTCACGCGTATTTTCAATATTTAACCCTTTGTGCTCAAATTACCAATGTAGCTGGTACATAAGTAAATGCGATATACTCCAAGTACCAGTTGTACAGTCGACACATTATCTGCTTTTATTTAATTAAAAAAACCTGGAGTAGACTACCTACAGGCGACAAAAATCCACGGAGTGCAAAGTGTTAATGACTCGGGAACGAAGCAGTCTCGAGCGCAATTTTCTTTATTATTGATTTCCATTTCAGTCTCGAGTGCAGAATCCTCGAACACCCTGTCTAAAACTGCCCCACATTTTTCTTACCATTCTGTGTATACCGTACGGTCGAAAGGAAGAATCTCATCCCCCCGAAGAAAGAAACACTGACCAAAGTTATTCAGAGGGGTTGCTGCGCCAATGCGCGGGGGCGAAAAACGTATACACACACCGTTTCCTTTCCCCCGGCCTACAAAGCGTCTGAAATCATTACATTCCTGGACAAAAGCGAGCGACGTGATCGCTACTACCCTTCGCAAACGTAACAGTTCACGGAGGAGAAAAGAAGCGACGAACAAAAGGGGGAGGTGGATGTGGGGGTGGAGGGTAGGTAGGTCGGTCTCGCGATCGAGCTCGACTCGTTCCTACACAGAAAAGACGGGAAAAGAGAGGTCGAGGATGAAATGTGCCTCGGGGATGCGGCAATACGAGGTAGCATCCCCTATGTCAAATGGAGACGTTATTAACGCGAGCGTGGACTCGCGTCCTCGGTTCTATCGCGTCGCTCGGCTGGTTTCCATGGTGAGACGGGTGTTTTCCAAGGGGTGAAAAGGGCGGGTTAGGTGGATTTCGAAACGGTGGAAGAATGGAGATCGAGAACAGGAGAGGCCAAAGAGAGAACGCGCAAGAAGGTTGCCTCGCGGAGCGATATACAAGGAGTTGTTGTTGTTGAGAAACTGCAGAGAGAGGGAGAATGGATGAAAAAAATGGAAATAGGGAAGCGAAACGGGGTTGGTGGTTGAAGGGCGTAGAACTAGAGAGTTTCTACTTGAGAATATTATTTTTAGAGAAGGGTGGGTGAATAAGGGGAAGAGGAAAAGTAGAAAATATCCAAGTTGCCGCGATGAACGAGATGGAAGATAAATGGGGGCATGGATTAAAAGTTTTCGACGCGAAACTGTATTAGTAGTAGCTCGAAACTGTGTATTAACACATTTACTATCGTCGTATGGATACGAAAACACGTTCGTCATATACCACTCTGTCGTTTTATTCAATGGAATGTTATTTTCTCGATTACACATTAACCCCCTCAAACGTGCTCGACCTCCAAGTCTGTACATACTTATCGGTTTTTCAAAATTCACCTAATCTCGAATCGTGCCCTGTTCAACTCGCAGGAATCGAAATCACGGAGAATAAAACAGAAAAACGTGAGATTAAGATACCGAGGAACACCCAAAGAATAATATCGAATGTGGTCGAAGGAACGACGCCAGAAAAGTATCCGAGGAATCGGTCAGAGAGGGATGATCAACGGCAGAAAAATCGGGCGAACGTGGGATTGGCACCGGAGGGATGACTCGAGGAGAGCAGAGACACCATCCGAGAAACGAAGAGGGAAGTGTGTATGTATATGTGTGTGCCGAGGGACAGGAGAACCGGTGTTTGGCCGACGGGGGTTGGGTCGAGGAGGGGTTCGGTCGCCATGGCGACAAGCAACCCCCGGGACTAACGGAGCTCGTCGCCGGGGTTGGTCGAAAAGGGTGGCCCAGGGCGTCTGTCGGGCAGGTTAGGCCGGGCCGTATATAGCCCCCGAATGTCACTCGACACACAAGGGGGGACACAAGGATGTCCTGGCCGTCGCAACGAGGCGGACAGAGAGGATCGTATGCGGTCGTCCGCGTAGAGGGAGCAGGATGTAAGGGCGCGAAGGGGAGGGAAGGGGGGGGGGGGGGAACCGTAGGAGAGGGTGGCTGGCAGGCAGGCGGGCCAAGATGGCCGACGACGCGACACCCACCATGTCAATAACACCCTTCTTCGACGCAAAACCGAGCCAACCACCCTCGTTTCGACCGAAGCCACCCTCACTCGCATTCTCTCTCTCTCTCTCTCTCACCATCCTTCCTCCACCCCCCACACACCCTCCCTCGCCATTACGACTGCTTTCCTTTCGCGACCTTTCGCCAGCCATCCAGGCCTGCCTGCCTGGACTATATTCAACGACGATGATGCGCTCTCTCGCCGCGATTTTCCCCGGTTTCTTGCCTCCGCTCGCGGTAATTAACGCGACGATCCCTCGCCACCAGGAAAAGGGTGAGAGAGAGAGAGAGAGAGAGAGAGGGGAATAGGGTGGTTTTAGAGGGAGGGGAGGGAGGAACGCACGCTCGCGGAGGCCATTGCTGGGCGAGGGCGTAATTCCGTTAAGTGTCTTCGTAAACTTCGTTAGCTGCATTTCCCGACATTACCCACCCTACCGCGCTTCCGTGCACCACCCTGTGCGTGTGTGCAGGACACCACATACATGAGTTTCGCGTGTGCTCTTGGGATGGGGGTGCCAATGTATATTTTTTTCTGTTTTTTTTTTTTCTTTCTTTTTGGTCAACCTTCTTTTTTTGGTGTTTTGCATACTCTCTGGAGTTGATGGATATGGAATATTGGAGAGATGTTTGATCTTTTCAGGGACGAATTTATTAGGATCGGGAAGAATATTATTTGTATTCTTCGGCTGTGTTTTACTAAAATGTATTTGTATATATATATTAACGATAAGCAAGTGGTAGAATATTCTTTTCTGTTGGGGAATTTTCTGCTGAACGTTTAATTATAGTTTCGTAATGACGCTTGAATAATGGAAAAATTAAACGTACACGTACGTGTCAGTATCCCTCAAGAGGTTAATCGACGCGTTCCTACCTCTTAAACAGGCATCAGTGGTTTGTTTAGGCTTCTCAGGGGATTTCGTGGTGTGAAGAAGTTGCAGAGTATTCGCGTCGGGGAATAACAGTTTACCAGAGGTATTTTCTATGGGTGTTAACGAGTTTCGATTGGAATATACTGATTCACAAAAGGAACAACTTCTTCTGTATTTCACCGTGCGCAATTTGGAGGGTAACGATATAAATTCGAAGGGATAAAATTCTCTACGCCGTAATAATTTCGATGTCTTGTTAATATTCCAAACCAGCCCCATAATTTTTCAAAAGGTTTGCGGTTTTAAAACAGTTCCGAATGATTGTACACGTTTATCTACTCGTTTTGTAATCGGTATACCCTTAGGACGTTCGATTCACTCCGTTCCACGTCATAATTAACGGTTATTATTATCACCGTCGCCGTACAGACGAAACGACAATCGAATTCGCGGGCATAATATGCGTCACGAATTACATACCCGCGATATTAATGACCATCATTTGTGCACGGTCGCGGGTTTCCCCGGGCGGATGCAACCGCGCGCCGTTTAATACTCTAATTTAACAATACGATTATTTAATCAGAGGGCCGGTTCTGTATTCGCTCGTTGCGAAACAAAAGTTACAAACTCTCGTTGTTCACTCGAAAACACGAGGGTGTCTCTGTGTGTTTCTGATCATTTAACAACATTTCCCAAGACACGTTATAGAATGATGAAATTAAATAATTTTTACGGTCTGGGTAACTGTGTTTTCATACCTTCGATTTATAATCATGGAGAAAAAATACAGGGTAGACCGCGAAATGTGATTAGCATCGACTATTTTTTACCAAAGGGTTTTGCTGTTAAATAAATTCAATTTAAACAAACGTTAAATTATTCTACTGCTAGCTGTTCGATCGAACATTTTTTTAGCTAGTATAACTAGATTCAACGAGAATTTTAGGATGATTTTACCAACTTTTTTGTCACCCCTTTTTCCCCCGGAGTTTTCACGGTTACCTTCTGTTTTTTTATCGAGACACAAATAATGGTTTTTACGTTCACCTTTTAACGGATACTGAGACAAACTCGACAAGCATCATAAGGAATAATATTTTTTTTCTGAACCAACGGAACATTAAGAATAGTGTCCATCAGTTGCAATACACTCGCGTGAACGGTTAAAAAACTACTGCTTAATTCTATTTATAACGTCTGCACTAATTAAGCATGCAAGAAAATTTTCGATCGAGCAGCTATTAGTAGAATAATCGTAGTCCACCCTGTAATACAACTTGTCAAAGAAAACAAACGACAATTTCAGAGAAACTGAATCCATTTTCATAGGTTCGATACGCAAGAAGTTTCAGGAATAAATTCCACGGAATTCTCGTTTTCTTACCAAATAATCGATGGACGGAGGGTTACAGTTTTTCTTTTTTTTTTCTTTTTAAAGAGGGCAGGCCACTGTTGCGGAGCAGATGTTACAAAAACCCGCGCCTATTAAATGTAATAACTGTGGAGGGTTTTCATGCTCAAACGGATCGAAATATGTTACGTAATATTCGCTGAGCCGCTATCGGCCCAAGCACAATGGAGGCAAAAACCTGGAAGCTTCGCGTAAATGCGGCTCGCATAACGCTCGAAACGGAACGCTTCGGAATCGACCGTTACGAGGATTTTTTTTCTACAGTGTGCCTACTGGTGGGGGATTGGCTGTAATTAACTCAAAAGACGAAAAAAGAAATTTCTGAAGACACTCGTCTATCGGCTATTCAAATCTCTAAAGTGACGATAGAAAAAAAATGTTTAAAAAACAGAAAAATAAGAAAGAAGTGGAACTCACCTGCGGCCAGTTGCGAAATCTCCCTCTGGACTTCGGCTGAAACGGATGAACAATACTTGTTAGTAATCATGGTATTCTTTCTAACTTCTGTATCGGATCGATAACACTATTCAACATGTCCTAAAACAATGAATTTTTGGGTTAATTAAAAATTGAATTTATCGTATTTAACAAGTAATAATGAAATTAAGTAGAATACAAATGTAGAATGTAAACAATTTGATGAATGTTTTGATTAGGTTCGACAATTAATTGGCTTGTACAGTCTTACACACAGTCCCCATTTTGTAACTATCATATTCCCTATTTTTATGGCAAACATTTAATGGCAAAAAATATTACTTATTGCGTTTAAAAGTGGAGACTACATGTTATTTACAGCTCCATATTTAAAATTAAATTGAAAGAATCCTTACGTATAGGATCGGAAGTGACACCATTGTATTCAGCAATTCAAAGTTAAGTAGATGACATGCAGTTTTACTGCATCACTTTAGAAATCTTTAAAATTCTGTTGTACAGTGTAATTGGAAGACGCTGAAAAAAAATGTAGAGAGGAAAAGCACCAAAAGACATCCAGAAGTGCAGCAGGATTCTTTAACACAATGTGTATCCGATGTTCTCAAATATGCTGCATAGTTTTTATCCATTCAAAGAGTGGCAAGGTAAACCGTGATATTGCACTACTGACCGTAAAAAGCGTTAAAATAAAAAAAATCAACATCTGTACACGCGTTGAAACACAAAAGCACCATCTACACACGTGTTAAAATAAAAGAATCACCATCTATACGGGCGTTAAAACACAAAATCACCATCTTCACACGCGTTACAATACAAAATCAAATAAGAGGTAAAACTAAACGTGTCATCGTGCTTCCACGCACCTCACTCGACTAAGCATAATTTGACCGTGAGACCAATGACTTACAGAAAGTCAAATACAAGAAGGATCACCTTCGAAAGAAAATGTAGTACCCTCCGTCAGACCAAACGGTCCTCGATCCCATATTTAACCAATGAAATCCGAGGGTCGCTGTGTGCCCCTATAAGACCCCCCTTCTTGCAAGACAAGAAAGATGAAAAAGTGCCGATTCTCGAACTAGTGACTTCTCTGGATCATGACGTCAGATTCTGCCCGTAGATTATCGTTCGTTCGAAACTTATCCCCGATCAGAGCATGCGTCTAGCACCCTGATGTCGCGCACGTAGACTCAGAAAAGAGTCCTCAGGGTGGCACGAAGAGGGTAGGGGGTGGGGGAGTGTATAGAGAAAATAAAGAAAATAGACATAGAAAAGAAAATACATCCCCTGGGCGGGTTAGGGCTGAATAGATTCACGCTGCTAATGGGTATTATATTTTCTCGTCCGGAATTATGGGCCTGTCAGCGGCCTAATAACTGGTCTCTAATACTAGCGGGCCCCACCACCTCGCATCTGATACGGGAAACCAGGGCCCCCCGTTTCGACAATGTGAGCATTAAACACGTAATCGCAATGCGCGCGGCACGAGCACGATCTGTCCGTATTGTACAAGCGCACAGGATCATCAAAGAGCACGCCGCCGCCACCGACAGAAGCGGGGAAAAAGCCGGTGGCACACAAGGGAACGATCGCGCGCGCCCTCAGACCACGTGAGATTTCGCTTAAGAGAGATAAAGAAAGAAAGAGTTTATACGGATCGCCGCGAGGTCCGCCATCTACTTCTGCGACCCCTTTATGTGCCTTCCATTTCGCCCTGGAATCCTCGGAGATTAATTCCTTTTTTTTCTTTTTCTCATCGAGAGATCTTCCCCACCTCCCCAACTAGTTTCTTTTTTTTTTTTCTCTGCACCCTCTTTCGTCGACGGAGAATTACTACTTGCTCGTCGAACGGATGGTGGCACGAAAGGGTTGCAGGAGGATCGTACGGGGGGTTGAAGCATCGGAGGAGCTTATTGATGGATCCCTCCGTTCGCTGGTTGATTCCTAGGGAACGATGGCTGAGGACCTGGAGAAAAGAGGGATCCTACCCCCGATGAACGTGACTGAGGTCTTGAGGGTCCGTGTGGAGAGCTGTGGATGTTAAACACGTGGGTGAACGACGGTGCAAAATGTTCCTGGGAGCAATACACGGAAAACGGAAGAGATCGAGTCTTTTCCGTATTGGGAAAGAAATTTACGATATGTACCTTATCGAGGACCGTGCATCAGTACTTGGAACGATTTACCCCCTCGATCTGGTCTCGAGTGTCCATCTCCGTGTGATTATGTGTAACTACGATCTTTGAAATCACATTTCTAGGTACCCTCGGGACACCAAAACGAAAATAATGGGATTCATTCATATTTGTTTTTTTTTAGTGTAGAATCTAATATTCCGCATAGATGTTCTATATTACATTGAGATCTGGTGACTGTGGAGGAGGACTTGACTGATTGAAAGTGTTTTCCAGCGAATAATTTTTAACCACCTTTGCTGTATATATTTTGAGTTCTACACGATTATTGTCCAGGCGTTATCCCCACCACTGGTCAAGCACATATTTTGTTGCCGAGACTCGGGCTTCGCGCCAAAACCGAATTCACGATGGTCTGCAGCATGTCTCCCTACAAGATTATTGTCCTGGCGCGGACCCGAGACCGGGACGATAATCGAGAGGAGTCTGTATTTACAAAATTCTGTGGCAATATCTCCAAATTTCTCGAATTTTTTGTCTGCCTATTCATCCCTAAATCGTGAAAAAAGTTATATGCAACTGTATCACTGTCATAATCTTCCAATAGGTGGATTCTACAGAAATATTACAGAAACCTCACCTGTATAAGGTATATACTCAGTTTTGACTCTTACTGTAGATATATCGAAGGGTCTTGCGAGATGCGTTTAATTTACCAAGCCACCGCCCGTGATCGGCCATTTTCCGTGATCCAACAACGGCCGAGAAACGTCCACGCAGTCACTCCATCTTTCGCGGGAAGGGGTTGCGAGAGGCCTAGCAAAAAGGGAGGGGGGCCATCGCGGAGGGTTCGTCGTCTGGGACGCGAGGAGGATCGGTGGCACGGAATTCCAAGCCCGTGGGGGACGTACGGCGAGATATCCGAGAGGATATTATCCCCCCCGGGAAGCCGTGTAATGAAACCGTTCCGGCACCCCCGACGGTATTATCCACCCCCCGGCAATATAAGCCGAAGGGGGAGGGTGAGAGCCGGACAAGGATATAGGTGGTTGATACGTGGGCACAGCTGTGCACCCCCGCCACGCCCCACTCCTTCTTTTTATCTCTCGAACCCCCTTTACGACGCGCCCCGGCGGGATAAGTGGACGTCGAAAGATAGAACCCCCCGCACAGTCAGCGGAAAACCCCCCAGCGACATCATCGTCATTAACAAATGCCCGCGTAATTGCCTCACAGCCTTCCAAGAATCGAGCAGCCGCCATCCTCGCAACCCTTTCATGGCTGCAACCAACCCCCCCGGTTGGGTGGGAGGCGTTGCAATAGATCGGTTTCTTGTCACAGGGGTGGGAAAGGGTGAGAGCCAGACTGGAGGACACTTTGGTGAAACGTCCGCGAGTAAGATTAATGGCATCGGTCAAATGGAGCCTCGTTTTAATACATTCTTTTTTTTGTCGTTTAATGGTAATTGTTGAATGTTCACCCTGTCGGTGGAGTTTTAATCCTTTAAGGTTAGTGTGACGTATACGGTGCGGTGGAAATGGATCATTTTTCAGTTAACTAATCGCGAGGTAAATCATTTTTCCCCTCGAAGAGGTGTTCGAGCGTTAAAACTGTATTCAACGTAGTAAAAGAATGAGTGTAACGAGTAGGAAAACTGCATTGCAATGAAAATCAATAAATACTGTTTACACCCTATAAATGCAATAATTCTTTTTCCTATTGTTAAATAACAATATGATTCTTAGAAATCAAGCTTCCATAGACAGAAAATAATAAATACATATTTGTTTCCGGGTTCGAGCGAGCGAATCTGCTTCGAACTTGAAAAGTACACGTCAATCACCGAGAACTATTACTCCGATTAATCACAGGGCAAAAATTACGTGATTTCCCCTGTTGATCGACGAAAGAAAAATCAGTCGGACCAACACAAAGCGTAAGGATCGAGGCGAAATCTGGTCCATCGCGAGAAAAGAAACGTATACGGGGCAGCGTGGAGAAGAAGAAAGAAAGAAAAAATCGAAAGAGAAGCAGGGGGCGGAGAGAGAAAGAGAGAGAGAGAGAGAGAGAGAGAGAAGAAGAAGAAGAAGGAAGAAAATGAGAACGATATTCCGCCGCGGCACGTGCACGCGGTTTAAAAAGGTTCGCCGCCGCCGCAAAGTAGAAGTTTCGACCGTGCCCGTAGACCGATGGGGATTTCTAAAAGCGGAACCGGCTGTCGTGATACGGATCTGACCAATCATAAAAGCCGCATAATGGCCACTTATTCATCCATCCCCCGGCCGTGGAACGAACAAAGGCGGAAATTAGTCAGGTTCGGTATGCTTATTAATTGACTGACATTTCCGTCATATTATTGTACAATGAATCGAAAGCGGGCTGCTCGTAGAGCTCTCGAAACCCCCCATCCCCTTTAACCCCCTCAGGCCACGGGATTTCTCGGGGTTTGCCATCGGTCCCAGAGCGGCTTGGAACCTAGTGCCTACCGTTTTCATACATCGTTATCGATGCCAGAGACCCGGACGATTTATGATTAATACTCGTCTTCGTCGTGTGCTCATTTTATGCCACTTATTTTGGATTCATGATCGTCCACGATTCTGTAATTGGAGGTGAAGGTAGTACCGTGATGATTTTTTATTCGAGATTTATCTGTACGGAAGATTTACGGATTTTCATTCGGAAGTTATGAGAGTGTTTATAATAGACGACGAAGACTTTTGAAGGAGAAATGAATTCAGTCAGGTTACCGTAGAATCTCGTGTTTTTGGCGAATGGACACTCGGAACGTGGTGGAGGACATATAATATTGCGAGGAAACGAAGATCCATCGATCGAAAGTCAATCCAAATGAGGTTAGGTACCCCTACTTTTACA